CTCTCTCTCTCTCTCTCTCTCTCTGTGTGTGTGTGTGTGTGTGTGTGTGTGTGTGTGTGTGTGTGTGTGTGTGTGTATGTGTGTGTGTGTGTGTGCATAGCCTTGTGTTCGTGGAATAAGAAATCTGTTTTTCTCTGGCTCTTTTTAATGCACTCTGAGTTGAACTGGTGACTGGTGATGCACATTTGCAGGAGTTGCAAATTGATATCTGTCTGCTCCGTGATGTTTCTGTTTGAATGAGGCGTGCGTGTGTATGGTGGTGGGGTGGGGTGGGGGTGGAGAGAAGGAAAGTAGAGGGGAAGGAAACGAAATGTTTGTTGGTTTGTTTTTTTTGTTTTTTTTTTTGTTTTAAAGCTCCATGTATTGGTGGGGAGCATCACCTGCTGGAAACCGGGTCCAGTGTCCCTTGATTGTACAACTTGAATACATTATGAGAATAAGAATAAATAAGAAAAAGGTCTCTTGAATTGAAGAAGACTGTCACTCACTACCTGCCCACAGAAATTGAAACAAAAACACTACCTCTTCATCCATTCCAGGACGCCAGATATACTTGTTGAAACTAGTAGTGATAATTCTATAATCCATACCATGAGCTGGGAACAAGGGCTGTTGCTGGGGGAGGAAAAGGATCCGGGAAATCTGATAACGGACGCATGGGAATTGACGTGTCTATAGTAGTCCAGTCATCGAAAATCAATTTGTAGTCTCTTTTCATTCCAGTATCATCCTCATTCCCGGCCCCATTCCAAACGACACAACCAATTCTCCCACCCTGGTTTCCGCCCAGCCAATTACGACTGAATTTACGAAAATGACTTTGAATTTCTGTTTTGTCTGAGAGGAATTGAACTCTTTCCTTTGTTCGATCCCATTTGCTTAATATATCTGTTTGAATTTGTTGTTTAATATTGTCTGTAAATTCAGGTCCATCTAGTCTAGCCCATTCCCATTCATACGTGCATCTCTTCATCCATATGGCCCACAACACCGCTCTTCTCCCCATGCTAAATAGATTTTCCACAAATTCCCCATCCTTTCACACTAATTCTGGGTCCAGGCTCCAGGTCTCAAGAAGAATAGCTTTCCATTTCCATGGCGAAGGACCTGTGGGACTAAACGTGACCAGATTCGATCCCACCAACAAATGTGAGTTCAGTTTGACTTGAAAATTTTGAAATGTGTGGACTCTGAACTTGCTTGACCAGCTTGACGGGTTACTGGGTGTCTGGATGGCTTGGGTGGCTTGGGTGTCTGGATGGCTTGGATGGCTTGGGTGGCTTGGGTGTTGGTTTCCCCTGCGTGCTGCCCAGCTGATGAGTATCGTTCAAGCGATAGCAAATGACCCGCTTCTGAACACAAGGAGAGCAGCCATGCTTGGAATCGATACGCTTGTGAAGATGATGGGAGCTGGGATGAAGATTGATCTAGCTGTTGGATCGATCATAGAGAACATTATACAGGAGATCCTGAGGGCTGTGGAGAGGAGCACTCAAAACCAAGTTGTCTCCAAGCTATCCAACGAGGCAATTCGTGCTATTGCAAGCACAACTGCGGCACTTAACTTGTACACTTTTCAAACCGGCAGTCAATCCAGCACGTCAGGGTCAACCGGTCCGGGAACAGAAACCTCGAAAGGCGGATATCAGGACATACTGAGCCAGTTGGCAAAGATATCATCGGTGAGTCGATCATCTGAGATCCTCGATGCAGTGAAGGCCGTGACGCTGGGTAAGATCCCCCCAGCCAATTTCTCCGAGAACACTCGCATCGAGGCAATAATGGACAGGGCAAACACCATGGTTCTTTCAACGTCGATCCCATTCCCAACACAATTTTCAGACGCAGTCAAAGGCGCGGATTTCTACCAACTTGATCTGGAAACTGCTGCTGCAAGTCAAGAGTCAGTACCGAGGAAGAAAGCCGTTAATGTGGGTGTTATATCCGGTGCCTTACTGGGGGTGATCGCGGTGATGGCAGTTGCTGTCTTCATCTTCGTCAGGCGCAAGATAGCAGCAAGGAAGGCACTATACAAGGCAGTTGGAAAGGCAGAGGAGATGGGAATGATCGAGGCTCATCGGCCATCGATGCCACCGGTTACTGTAAAGCCTTCCGAGCCCATAGGCTTCTCGCCGGAAAGTGTGGGTCTTCCATCACGGCGATCATCAAGTACACAGGAGGCTGCACCATCCTTGGCGAGGAGAATTAGCAGGATTGGACTGAGAAGACTCTCAGGAGTACTGGAGAAGATAGAGAACCCTCTGTATGACTCCAGATCCCCGATTGGCACTAGCGAGATGCAGGCACCCCCGGCAACGCCGGAACAAGTCAGAGCTTTGGCCAGAGGAGCTGGAGGGGAAGGAGAGAGGATTTTCCCCGGCGAAGGAGAGAGACGAGTTAGTCAAATACCATCCGCTGAATTTGCTGAGCAGAGGAGACGAGTCTCCTTGCTGATGCGGCAACAACTACGAATTGACACGACGCCAGGGCCTGGCCTGGACCTCTATTCTGAATCCTCACCTTCCGTTCCTAGTCCCACCTCTCCAATCACTCCGTCAAAGTTTTCACCATCAATGGCCCCGCGGCGACCGTCAATTGTTCCTCGCTCATCTTTCTTCACGCCTCAAGATAACCAGCGACGGTCATCACAGAGCGGCCAAGACAAAGCCAGACGGACTTCCGTGGATAGCCCTCAGATGCAGAGAGGAGAGACAGTGAACTTAACTTCTCAAGATAACCAGCGACGGTCGTCACAGAGCGGCCGAGACAAAGCTCGACAAACTTCCGTGGATAGCCCTCAGCGGCAGAGAGGGGACACATTAAATTTAATGGAATTGCCAGACGGACCGCAAGAGGGTGCTGTGAGACAAGGAGATGGTACGTTGACTTCGTTTGTCCGGGTTGGAAAACGAGCCGCAGAAGCAGAAGCAGAAGCAGAAGCAGAGGCTGAAGAGCCCAGAGGTGCTGGTCCCACTCGGAAAAAGTCCAGAAGGTCAAGAATGAGCGAACAGCCCACCTCACCAGGTTCTCCCGTCTTCAAGTTCCTTAGGCGGCTCTCCCAGACCTTTACAGGTAGCAGAAGTCAGCAGAAGCATCCTGATGATGTGGAAAGTTTAGATCTGTCCACCATGCCGCGGCAGCAGCAGTCAAAGGACCAGGAGGGCCAGGAAGTCGTGCCTGAACCCTCGTCATCCCCCTCTGCTGCTATGCGATCGGTTCAACCTGTGATGACAGCAACTGCTTATCCCACAGCACCAGAAGTTGTTCTAGAGAGTGTGGAATCCATAGATGTCAGTGACCTGAGGGCCAACAAGAAACTTGCAAAAAGGTCGAACAGACGAAGCTCGTGGGCACGACGACTTTCGGCTCTCTTCGCCGGCGAGCAACTCCCCCCAGGAACACCTACCCAAAGAGCTTGAAGGTTGTCCTGCGAAGGACAAAGGCTTCTTGCAGGTGAGTATAAAAGCTAGCGAAAAGGGCCAAAGAAGCAAATCCTTTGGGCTTGACGCCGTTTCGGCTCCCTTTTCCAACCAGCAACTCCCCCGAGGAACACCAACCCAAACAGATGGAAGGTTGTCCTCCCAAGGACAAAGGCTTCCTTTTGAAAGGTGAGTATGCTTTCTCTCTCCTCGCATGTGCGTCGATACGGCATCAATATGGGTGGGCGAAGGCTTCTCGCAGGTGAGAGTGATAACAGTGCACGGCTTCCATGCTTTCTCTTTCCTTTGCATGTGTGTGGACATGACATGGATATGGGTGGATGCCTCACTTGCTTCGATGCCTGCAGGCCTGGTTGGGTGACTGGACTCGAAGAGACGGTTACAGACATCAGCTGACAGTTTCTCTGAGTAGTAGACGAATTACTCGGCTGCGAATTGATGTTATCTATCCTAGGTGACGCAGAAACGTGCGGCATCTCTTTGTCCACAGATCGTCACGAGCACATGCACATACCGGATGATGCCTGTGATTGTTGGCAATAGGGAAAACAAATGGTTGGATGATCATGATGTTGAGTTGAGGTCACTTGATGATATGATAGCAATTGTTCGACCGGATGCTGCTGCGTAAAATGATGCAACTGTCTTGCCAGAAATACAACTGGGAGACAAAGTGGGATGTTTGTGATGTGTTTTTGTGCGGAGGCCGGAGCTTTCACAAGGTTCGATGGTCATGATGTTGAGTTGAGGTGACTTGATGATAACACATGTGTAACTGGATGCTGCTATATGCCAGCTGTATACTCTCCAGAATCTCCCCAGATTGCTCTGCAAGTTATGGTGCGCCCCTTTAAGTTGTGATGCGTCTTTATTCGGAAGCTGGACGGTCAAGGCCGCTTGCGGACACGCATGTTAGTCGGATGCCGCCATGACATAATGGATGCAGTCCTCTTTGCACCAACAATTCAGAACAAATTGGCAATCACTATGACTATGTTCAGCGTACAGAGGCCAAGTCTTGGTCAAGCGGATTCATTGAGAACCCACAAACGGACGGGCCTCCGTACACTATGACTATGTTCAGCGTACCGAGGCCAAGTCTTCGTCAAGCGGATTCATTGATAACGCACCAACGGACAGGCCTCGGTAGTTTGAGCTGAGTGACCCGACTTCCGGACCTGGCCCTTTGTTTTATTCAGAGGATGAGGTCAGTGGTCACCAACCCAATGGAGACATGATGGAGCCTCATCATGGAGGACTTTTGACTCTCCGCGGCTGTTAATAATGTATGTCGAAGTTGACTCGGCTTTCCTCTGACATGGTGTGCACGGTCGTGCTCAGAAATGGTAGAGTCTTCTTAACTTGGTGGGCGCAATCGTGAACTATGTTAATATCGAACCGTGAGCCTCTGATTAAGGTCGGGCTGCGTTGTGATGACCATCGTGCATGCTTTCACAAAGCAAGAATGGCAAGGTTCATGCTCACATGGGACCAACATAGCACCACTGGGGCCTGGCCCTTCATCACAATTCTATGCAGCGCAATAATGTGACCCCCCAAATAGAATCCCCGTTTGTGCGATTGTGACTAGTGTCCATGCTCAGAAAACAAGAACCTGGTCGTCGAGGCTGGCAAGGTTCATGCACACTTAGGACCAACATAGTACCAGCGGAGCATATGTCGCGTTACTGTTGTGCTCGTGCCGTGTTTTAATGCCCCCGTGTTGTATTTCAAGGAGGGATGGTGTGCGGGGTTTTCTGGCTGAGGTATGGTGATGCCCATCCCATCCCAGCGTGTGGATTTGAGGGATAAGGAGATGAAAGACACTGGTAGTTTGGATGGCGAATCGGATATTTGGCCTTGCTCCACTGCACCCCAACGCCCTGAACGTATCTGGATCTCAGGGTAGTCCCAGTACATTCAAAATGTTCGATCAGTCTGAATGTTTCTGTCCTGAAATCAGTCCAGGTACACATCAAATGTTCTGTAGCGGTTGGAGGCCCATTGGAGCTTTGGGACAAGAAGAAAAGTTGGGAGGGATGAAGTCGAGTGGACCAGATTCTTGCCCCTTTTTTTGACTGAGAGCTAAGCTCTGCTGTTTATGTGCAGGCCTGGCTGGACTTGAACTGGCGGTCTGTCCGGGCCTCTTTTTTTTCTGATCCAGATTGCAGCTGCGCGTCAGAAGAAAGGGAACCATTACAGGCACAAAATCGCGTCTTCGTCTTGACTGGTGCCTCCACCAGCCTTTTCCTTCGCGTAGACCTGAGCCCCCGCTATGCGGCGGGTTCACCGCCACTTTGGAACGAAATAGCTGCGAAATGGACTGGTGGTGTAAGAAGCCCCTGGCATACTGCATGTCATTCTGTGCTTTGAACCTGACACTGGTGCTATGCTTGCAGGAACATAGACCAAGTTTAGGGGCAAATTCATGCTAAGTACTTAGCACAGGTATCCCACCTGGGGGGGGAACCTTGAGGTTCCAGCAGATGATTGGAGAGTAGGTGTGTAAGGGCCACACTGGTGCTATGCTTGCAAGAACATAGGCCCAGTTTAT